GGATAATTTGAGCCTGGTCATTTGTGCCTCTAGTGTGAACTCTGGGTTGATTTGTTCGATGATCCATTGGTTTGTTTTCTTGGCTGTCCATAGTATTCTCAGGCATCTTCTCCAACCCCAAATTTCAAAAGTGTCAATACTCTTCCTGTCTTGCTTCTTCAAAGTCCACAATGATCACTAGATGGTAGCAAACATTCCTGTATCTCCTTGCTGCCCTCCAATGGTCATCTGGATGTTTTCAGCTGCAATCTGGTAGCCCTACACATAGCACCACCTGAAGATAGGAAAGACACCGCTGCTAAGTTTAATCATTTTGTCAGATAAAAATCATTCAGATTTTTTTTTTCGACTTCCCAGTCTAGCCTGCAACCTCTGTGATTTTCTGGTGCCCTCCCATCCAAGTACTAATTAAACATCTGTAAGAAATCTGAAGCAAAAAACCCAGGCCTTTGTTTTAAAGAGAAAATCCAAAACTTCCACAGAGCTTTCTGTTTCCACTGTTCACATTAAAAAAAAAAATAAAAAAAGGAAGAGTCATATTCTCCCTACACATACATGGTCTCTCTTTTTCTTATTCCAGGAAATGTCATGACACTGAAATTTTTGTCAGATGCTTCAGTAACAGCAGGAGGCTTCCAGATTGAATACATTGCTATCGACTCACCTAAAAAGAATACAACTACCAAAGCTACTACGAAGTATTTTGCTGGAAAATTTGGCATCGTATAAAAGAATTTTGGGATGAAAAAAGATGAGAGCCTTTAAGGGGAATACGCTACACCTTCCCTTCCTACCTTGAGAAAGTTGCTAGCTTTCTCCCAGAAGATCCCATTCCCGTGACTTCTGGCCTGGTATCTCCTCCCCAATGTGTTCTTCTCTCCGTACTGATTTTCAGTAAACCAGGCACCTTCCGCTGGATTGAGCTGAGCCCTCCCTTCTTTTCTGCTGCTGCAGAATTTGTCTTTTAATATTTTGAGTCATAAGATCTGGAGAAGTAATACTTGACTGTGCTAGTACGTTCCTTTCTGCTTTAGAGCTCCCGTGTGGCCTCCTTTTTCTTTCTTTTTCTATTTTTCTATTACCTTTTTTCCCCCCTTTCTTGCACTTTTAGCTTTCTCTTTGATTTTTCTTTTTTCTTACTTTATATTGGTTTGTATTAGTTTTTATCTTCCTTTTTAAAAACTTTTAATAAAATTATATTAAAAAATGCTGACTGGAAACCCCTGATGGACTTTTTGTGGAAAACAGAAAAAAAATGAACTTACGATTTATGGTTTTGACGATTAGATCGGAAAGATTATAGAAAGAAGAGAGACATGTTGTAAGTTTAGAGAAGGAGGTAAATTTATAATTGTACTTATGTTGTAAAGAAGATCGGAAGCCACTTCTTTGTGTCTTCTTTCTTTCTTTTCTATTTTTCTTTTACTTCTTTAACTTTCTTGCACTTCTAGCTTTCTCTTTGATTTCTTTCTTTTTCTTTTTTCTTTCTTACTTTATATTAGTTTGCATTAGTTTTTATCTTATTTTTTAAAACTTTTAATAACATTATATGTACATATTTTTTAAAAAGCTCCTGTGTGGTAACCCCCTTGGATGTTATGCAGCAGGGATTTCCTTGAGCCAGAAGGTTGTGAAGAAGCATTTACTCACTGATTTTCTCTAAAAACTACCCCGCATTTGATGTATTATTAAGAAGCTTAGGGAATATTTAAGACATCTTGAAAGGAATGCCTTTGGGGGTCCTTTCAATTATTTGATGAGGAGGAGGCAGCGGCAGGCCTCACAACATCTGCATGCTTATTATTATTATTATTGGGGGGGGAGCTTCAAATCACTGCTGATTCCTGGCAACTTCCTGGACAAATCTCTGCAGTCTTCTTGGCAAGATTTCAGAAATGGTTTGCCCTTGCCTGCTTCCTAGGGCTGAGAGAGAGTGACTGGCCCAAGAAGTTCCACTTAATTCAGACTATTGTCTTATGTCAACAGATATGAAAAAAAGCAGTGCAATACAACATTAGATAAACCCCCCTTTATTGACTACTTGGGTTTACATAATGCAATACACCAAAATTAAATAAATCACATTTTAGATTAGCAGGATGTATATACATAGCAAGTAACTGTTAGAAAACTGAATGGCCTGCAAAATTTACAAGAATGTTTTATTTTTCATTTTGTTGTTAAATCTGTTTTCTAAGGTTTGTTACCAAGTCATACAAGACTCCTAGAATGCCATTGTGGCAATTTGCATAATTTGTCTTAAAATTAATGTAAATGTAACTACCTTGTCTGAACTACTTCAGCTTACCCATCATTTCAGGCGGATAACCAGATGGAAAATCCACTAAATTCCTTTAGTCTGAACTAAAGTCTCAATTCTACTATACTGGCGGTGGGGGGAGTTATTAAATTGAGGCTTCATATCTTCTTGTGTAACATCAGATTTTACTCTCAGACCAACTCATATAAGAACTTAATCCACAGATTATCCGCTGATGCTAATTAAATTCTGCCATCTAGCGGTTTCAAAGAACCATTGTTGTTTACATAGATGGGACACAGAGGGAAATAGGATGGAAGGGTAATTATGGGCTGTGTTCTCCCATCAGCACTACCATGGCTCACCCAATTAATAGGGCTGTGCAAAGCTTCAAAATGGCCCTTCGCTCTGATGAAGTTTCATGCAGCTGCTGATTGCCTCTCCGCTCTTATAAAAGAAAACTGCAAGATTACTTACTACGCAGTAATGTTCTGGAGTCTTTGCTGGCAGTTTTAGTAGCCTTGAAGAGATTTCTATGCATACTCAGAAGCTAGGGCTATCAGATCCAGGCCGCAAATATCCAGAAGGTGACTTGATAGCCAAGAGAAACAAAAAAACAAACACTCACCCCCCTTTCCTGCCATTCATGGTCTTTGGGATTATTTTACAGCCCAGAGCTTGTCTTCCAGTCTTCCAGGGAGCTATTCAAAGAGATGAATACGCATATGCATAGAAGCCTCTTTAGCTACTGAAACTGCTGGAGGACATGCCAGGGGCAACAGGAAGCAGCTTGGTGAGGCAAACCCTAGTGCCTTCTCTGTATCTTCAGGAAGATAGATGAGACCCCTTCACACAAGTCTGCTGGTTAGCCGAGTGTTTTGGGTTCCCAGAAGACACAGAACCATAAACCAACCAGACTAGCTGGGTTCTCACACCTAAAATATTAGGTGATTTGCACTTGATGATGCTGTGCAAGTCCAGCCTCAAGAATTAATCAGAGTTTTGCAAATTGAAAAGAAAAATGGAAACAAGTGCAGGCTGTCCAATTGCGAACAATTCCGTGTATCCAAATACTCTTCTGAATTCAGCATCCAGTCTAGACAGGCATAACAACACAGGTAAATGTGTACAAGAAGGACTGCATATTTTTTATTTTTATGTTGAGATCCTATTTTTAATAACAGCAGGCAATGGAGGGGGCTATCTTCATCAGACCCCAAAACTGAGAGGCAAACTGCTATTTCCACCCTTCAGACCTCCCTTTACTCAATGAAAAACATCTCTAAATCACATCAATTCAGACCATTTTTTAAATTATTATTATTATTATCATTGACAAAATCACCATCAGTCAATTGCAAAAGGCAGCTTTACTCGGAACAGCTTATATCCTGTGACAAAACCTTTAACACCATCAAACACCATCTGCCTATCCCAGGTCTTTGGGAAAGACTCAATAGTGGATAAAAATGCCAAAGCCAGTCTAAACATCTGGCTGACTGTGCGACCAACCATAATAATAATAACACTATATTAAACTTGTATGCTGCTTGATTCCCAATGACTCTCTTGGGAGGTTGGGGGCTGCACGTAAGATGCCTACCTCAGTCCTATGCATTATCTTTACAATTCTTAGCTTTTCTAGAAGCTGAGATCCCAGTAAAAACATGCCCAGAACACAAAATACTACATGGCCCCTACTTGTCCAACTGGTTTTTCAGCTTCATTTTTTTTGTCTTCTTTTTTTGTCTTTCAACAAGTAGGCATTTTTTTGAGTTTTGGGCTAAGCCAGAGTTTAGCATAATAAAAAGAAGTTTACACAAAACTCAAATGTGGACATTCCTCCCTGCACTAGTACACACATAAAGATAGGACTATTAGATCTGAGTTGCCAAAATTGAGACCCCCTTACTATGAAAATCTTAATCCTTTGCCTCTAGCTAGTGGTCATCTGGATTTTGGCAGCTCAGAACTGGTTGTGCTAGAGTAAAACCTCCCACTTCCATTTTAGATTAATGGCAGTTTAACATAAGGTTTGAGAGAATGATTATTTCTGATTATGGTTAATGAAAACCAGGACTGTTTCATGTGACTTGCCCAAGGTTGGACGACAGGCCAAATCAGAATTAACCTGAAATGGAAATAAAAGCTTTCAACCCTTTCCTTACATTTGCATGAAAGATGAAGAGGGAAGGAGAAAGCACACACAAAAGACATTTTTTAAAGCAGAGGCTTTAGACAAGCCAGATCCAAAAATGCAAGAGAAGAGGCTTGGCACTCTGAGAAGTTAGCCATTAACAGACATACTGAGATAAGCTCCATCTATAAACCATTCAGGAAGGGAAGCAACCAAAGTCAGGGAAAGGAGCAAACAGCCCTAAGCACATCCTTCCTCATCACACACCTCTTAACCAACATCCAGATAAGCAGGAACCAGTACCAGACAAAGAGGAACAATACCCCAATCAAGGCTGGAAAGACAAACCACTACGTAACAACAGCCAGCAAACATGACTCCCCCATGCACTGATGATGTTACCTAGCCTAGTCATGAAAGATCTGCAGGAAGAAAAGCCAGCACAGAGAACACCAAGACCCCAGCAATTCAACCCTGAGGGATGTGTATTTTCCACTATTTTAACATACATTTAACTTTAAACTGTGGTCACTGTACACAATGCACAACATATCCATTGAATTAAGAGCTGTGTAAGATCTGCATTCAAGTTTACAAGGCTGCATCCAATCATTCTTAAATGAACCTTCAAATCAAAATTGCCAAATCGATTTTGTGATTTGGTTTTGTGCTTATGCATACTTTTCATCAAACTGAAGTTTTCAACAGAATCAACAATTCTGATCCAACGGGAACAACTCATATTGGATCTGGGGTGAAGTGCAGTTTTAGGTGCAAAACACGTTTGAACTTTGAGTTGCTAACATTCAATTTTAATCAAGTCTAGTCAATTCTTCCCACAGTTCAGTTTGCTAAGAATGACAGACTTCTACACATTCGCACAACATGATTTAGATGTAAAACTGAAGTGTAGATTTAACGATCTATTAATTTGGCTAAAGCCATCTTAAAATTCTACCTTAAGTAAACTACACTAAAGCATGGTTTGCTTAACCCTGTTTTTATTGAACTGGAAGCATGAACTCATCTTTATGGCTTAGCTCCGATATCAGGTTCTCCCAATCCGTGCATTCCAAACCTTCGCACGTTAGTCTGGGGGCTTATTTTGGACAAAGTTCTACTGACCTTACTGAGTGGGGCTTAGTCTTAAATGAGCGCAAGTTGCAGTATCAGTTTGTCTATAACAGAATAAATGCTCACAGTATCTCAATCGAATCGCTGATGTCAAGTTGGGTGCTTTTGCATGGTACAAAATGCTTTCCAACACGAGTACCTCGTTGACTTGATTCTTAACAAAAAGAAGGCAGCAACGGGTCGGCACTGTGGATAAATGACCCGGCTTGTTTTTGCATACAGCTGTTTGCCATCGACAAAGAAAACTGCGAACCACAAACGCCTTCGATTCCGGCAAGGAAAGAAAGACGGAGTCGATCGATGATTCCACACTCTACCTCGCTGGGGAGCGGGGAGGGGGGGCCAAGAAGAAGCCGCAAGAACAGAGGTATTCGCCGCGCTCGACATCTCGGCGTTCCGCCTCAGTCCGCGCCCCGCCTCCTCCCGGTCTTTTCGCGCGTTGATTGGGCGAGAGCTCTCCCCAAGGCTCCGACTCCCGCGCTTCGCCATCTTAGCCCGGGAGAAAAGGAACGCGAGCGCGGGAAGTGCGGTGGGAGTGGGGCGGCAATTTGTGCCGCTTTTCCTCAGGCCGTCACTTCGCGATGGGACCTTGCGCCGGTTCCAGCCTCCGGGCCCTGCTGGAAACCCTCGAGGACCCCGGCGCCTCGCCGGGGGTGTTGACAGACGGGCTGCTGACCCTCTCGAAGTGAGTCCCGGCCGTGGCCCCTTGTGCTCTCCGCGATAAGATGCGAGACGTGACGGAGGTGGCCGTCTCGCCAGCCGTGTGAAGGATTTTTTAAAAATCAAGTTTGTTTATGGGGTAGCATTATTCGTGGGGTTCCTCCAGACTGCTTGAGAAGGCTTAATATCAAATGATGCACGTAATCCAGGCACTACTTGCCCGAATCCATGGGTTACTGAGCGTCTTCCTATTGCAGCACAGCATCCCGATTCTGTGCAGTTTCCTGAGCAGTCACCACTTGCGCCTAGGATTTTTTTTCAGTGCCCAATGTCATCCTTGGAAATGGGTGGTTTATGGAAAAAGGGTGACGTGTGAAACCTTTGTCCTCCGTCGTTCTCAGTCTCAGGCCGAAAGGTTCCACAATTCACTCCTTTCCCTTGCTGCTCTCTTCACTTTTTATATCTTTGCTTTTAAACATGCGAACAGGGATTCTGTGTTTTTTGTAAAATCTTGCTATAGAGGAGAGATGGTGTTTGGGTTCTTGACTTATTGGTGCAGGTATTTTTCTGACATAGTGATGGTTCTAACTTGAAGTCTTTCTGAATCACAATTCAACTGGTGAAGCTTTGGTGATGGGGTCATTTCCTGTGGTGCTTGTCTGCTGTACAATTAAAGGCATGGTATCCTCCTGATAATGGAATGGAAAAAAGGCAATACAGTGGTGCCATATCCCAATATACTTCTTTAAAAAAAAAACTGCCATTGATTATGTACCATCAAGTCTATGTAAGCTCTTAGCAACCACACAAATTTTCTCCAGGATGATCTGTTCCCAATCTAGTCTTTCAGGTCTTCCAATGGTGCACCCATCACCAGTGTAACTGAGTCCATCCATCTTAGCACTGGTCATCCTCTTCTTCTCTTTCCTTCCATCTTTCCCAGCAATATAGACTTCTCTAGGAAATTTGTTCTTCACATAATGTGTCCAGAACATAATAATTTGGTCACATGTGCCTGTATTAAGAATGATGGGTTGATGTATTCTGTGATGCATTTGTTTTGGAGTTTTTTTTCTTTGCTATCCAGGGTATTCTCAGGAGCCTTCTCCAACACAAAAGTTCAAAAGTATCAATTCTCTTCCTATCCTGCTTCTTCAAAGTCCAACTTTCACTTCCATAGAATGTCACAGGAAAGACTGTTGTCTGCACAGTTCTGATCTTTGAAGATGTAGGTGGCTCTCAACATCCGAATATCTTTTCCAAGGCCTTCATGGCTACTCTACCAAGTGCTGGACTGAGAAGGGCTTCTTGACTGCTGGTTCCTGTACTGTTACTGATTGATCTTAAAAGGCTGAAGCTATCCACTACTTCAATACAGGTGGTCCTCATTTAGTGCCCACAATTGGGACCAGCAATTTGATCGTTAAGCATAGCAGTCGCTAAATGAAACTGCAACTGTGCTTATGATCTTCCTTCAGCTTTCCTTTGCTTAACAGACCTGCAAAGGTCATAAATTTACCATTTACAACAACAAAGTTACTTTTTCATCACCAACGTAACTGTGAATGGCTGCTGTCCAGGGCAGTCGCTAAACAAGAACTACCTGTATCATCTTATTGTACTTGTTGTCATTAGTTTGGTGGTCTTTAATTTTAGTCCCATTTTTTCACTGTACTCCTTGACTTTTATTACTAAAGCTTGCAGATCTTTTGCATTTTTGGCTATCAGGGTGTCATCAGCAGAGTGCACATAACTGATGTTTCTTTCTCCAATTTTAAAACCATGCTCATCTTCAAATAAGCTTTCCTTTAATAAATATTCAGCGTATAGGTTGAATAAAATGGGGAGATTATGCAGCCTTGTTACACTCGTTTGCCAACCTAGATCCAGTCTGATATGATCAACACAATTGACCTTTCTGTAATCAATGAAGCACATAGTGACTTTTTTGTTTTCTTTGGCTTTCTCAATTATCCAGAATGCATCAGCAATAATGTCTTGTGTTCCTCAGCCTTTTCTAAAGCCAGCTTGAACATCTGATATCTCCTTTTCCATTTAAGGCTGTAATCTGCATTGGATGATTCTAAGCATTATTTTGTTAACATGTGAAATTAAGGATATTGTATGATAGTTTGCATACTCTATTAAGTCTCCTTTTTGATATTAGAATGAAGATTGACTTCTTCCAATCTGTTGGCCACTGTATCATTCTCCAAATTTGCTGGCATAGCTTGGTTAGAACCTTGGCTGATTCTTCTTCTGTTGCTTGCCATATTTCAGTGGGTACTCCATCAGTTCCTGTAGTCTTCCAATTTGGTAATGACTGGAGTGCTGATCTAATTTCTTCTTCTAGTACTAGAGATTTTTGTAAGTAGGAAATATTTTCTAAGGCAGTGTTTCTTAAACTTTTTTCTCTCAGGACCCCTTCTCACTTTTAAAAACTATGGAGGACCCCAAAAGAACTTTTGTTTGTATGGGTAAATATTATTGATATTTACCATATTAAAAATTGATGAATCCGCTGCCACTACCATTTCTCATGGCTGTTTGATTGGATTTTAATATTGTATTATTTTTCAACCTAGGCTGGCAAATAATTTTGATTTTGCAGATCCCTGAGAGTCTTGGGGGACATCCAGGGGTCCAAGGACCACACTTTAAGAAACACTGTTCTGAGGTATCTTGGATGTTGGCATCTCTTCTGTACAGTGTTTGGTATACTCCTTCCAACTTCATTTGATCTCCTTTGAATTGGTTACTGTCTGTCCATTGATGTCCTTTAGCATACCAATTCAAGGTTGGAACCTTCTCCTGAGTTCAGAGGTCTTCTGAAAGACTTTCCTTGTTTTTTCAATGTTTTTACAGATGTTGTAATACTGCTTCTTGTCTCTTCTAACAGCTTTCTGAAACTTTGTTAACATCCTTTCTGGGAATTTTGTCTTTGTCTTCTCTTAGCAATTTCCACAGTTTGTTCTGATATCCAGTTTGCTTTCTTCTGTTTCTTTGTTTTTTCAGTCTCTTTCCACTCTCATCTTTAACAATTTCTTTAAGTTCATTCCACAATTCCCTCTAATTCTCTCTATCAGTGAAGTGCAGGACTTCAGTGCGGTTCTTGATGTTCTTCTTGAAAGTGATGGGTACATGCTCAAGATCATATTGTGGAAACTGGTTGGCTTTCTTCTTGCTGTTTAGCTTAACTTGGGACTTGCACATGAACAGTTCATGATCTGTTATACAAAATCATTTTTTTCTCAGAAGACTGAAAAAAGAGTGTATATATACCTAAGCATATTAAGATGTTATCATTTTACTACCATCTAAGTGTCCTCTGGATGTTTGCATACCACATAGGGTTACCTATATGTGTTTTAATCTGAGAATTACCATTTGTTTCTCTTTAAATGTTTTTTGTAAAATGTTCTGGGATTGGTGGAAGGTTTAGGGTGTTCCTTGCTTTATAAAATCTGTCATGCTACTATAAACAGAGAGCAAACCCCATTCCACTCTAGCACTGAAGATGTTACCTAGCTGGGTAACAAAACGTTTGCAAGAAAACAACCAAGCTCAGAGAACCCCAAGGACTATGTTACCTAGCTGGGTAACAAAACGTTTGCAAGAAAACAACCAAGCTCAGAGAACCCCAAGGACTATGTTACCTAGCTGGGTAACAAAACGTTTGCAAGAAAACAACCAAGCTCAGAGAACCCCAAGGACTCCACAGTTCAACCCTGAGCTACACATATTCTTTTCTGTTGATGCCTGTGTTTCCCATCTCAACTTAGCAGGAACCTATGCCATAAATTTTTAGTTGTCCAGTGGTTGCAAGTTACCCACTCTTCCAATAAGTGAATGCAAGTTCTAACTGTCTCTAGTCTGTCTCTGTGCTAACAGCTGAAGTATAGTATGGGTATTTTTTAAATAATTATGGGATTTTGCGTGTCCTGATATTAATAGTTACCTTAAAACTACATATATCCTTTCCCTCTGTTCCCTTTGAGATAAGTAATGTTATGCAGAGTATAGAAAAGGAATTAAAAATATTAAGCCAAATAAATTGAAAGCATGAGATAAAAAGGGAACTATAATTAAATCTGGTTTACAGCAACATCATTTGCTATACCATGACATAACTCTATATTCTGGCAAACCATTTTTGCTCTCTCCCCATTCCTGTATGTTTCATATATTGCCTTTTGTTCCTTAAAATTCTTATCTCTTTTTGGGGATCTCACCAACTCTATTTAATGACAGCTTTTAATCCTTATTCATTTCCTCTGTATGATGAAATCACCTCATTTTACTTCTTTCATACTGCCACTTCTTAAGTACCATTTCTATATTCCATCAATATTCATTGAGCACCCATTCCTTCTTGATTCTGTTGTGTTTTACCACACACACTTCTTAAGTACCATATTCCCCCAGGTTTAGCTTCTCCTGACATAACCAGCTCTTTGTTCCATGTAGCAAAGTCACAGAAGCACATCTCCTACACAGCTCTTTTTACTTTTGTCAATAAATTTTTATTTTATCAGCGGGTCACTTACTACCCACTACTTTTCTATTTGTGCATCTTGATATTTTTCTACTCATTTTCCCATTGTCCATAAAAATTATATGAAGGTACAAACATTCATCTACTTGCTGTAGTTTTTCACCAATAATATATAACTTGTAATTATTTGCTCCATTTTCTCTGTCAAATACCTTGGTCTTCAATACATTATTTGTCAGATCCATAGTCCTTGTAGCATCATATAATCTAATGTTTGCTGGAAATAATTTGGGTTCTTGAACTAACAACATTCATGGTGCCAGCCAACAAACTTTTAACATCACCATCAGTATTCCTTTCACATTTATCCCCAAATACTTTCTTTGGATATTAACAGAAAACTTGAAATGCTTGAAGTTCTCACAAGCAAAACCTGCATACTGGTAAAAGTCTGTAACGATTGGATTTATACTGAGCCATGGATTGTATCGGCTAGCCTTTAAAAAGTTATGTATTTGCCTGTGTTTGAGCACTTTTTAACAGAAAGCCTGTTTGTTTTTCAAAATTAAGTCGCCTGACTGGAGAAGAAGGAAAAGAATTTGCAGCTGAAGTTGGAAAACATTTTTCCCAGCTTTACAAGATATTTAAGGTGTGCATTTCACTTCTGTGCTTAGTCTTTATGGCCCTGTTTAGTCATCTCAAGTACCTGTATTGACATTATAAATACTAACAAACTTTTAATTTAGAAAAGTGTATATTTTAGTAAGATTTTAACAATTTGAGTCATGTCAAAAGCTGCCACTGAAATTTTATATTGAAGATGAATGTGTAAAGAAATTTAATATACTATCAAGTTTGCCTTTATGTTAAACTAGAGAAATAAGTTTGTTTATTTTTCATATCTAGAAGATCACCAGATTATTAATATATATGGACTTTGGTGTGTGGATTACAGAAATAACCTGCAAGTTAACTAGTTGTTGTTTTTTTGTATTTGAGGGTAAAATCAGATTACTTAATCTGATCTTAAGTAATTAGAGCAGCCTTCCCCAATTTGGTAAGCCTCCAGATATGCTGGAAGTTCATTTTCATAACCTTTTAGTAAAGTGACTGCGAATGGCAATTGAAGAGCATCTGGAGGTTTACCAGATTGGGGAAGGTTGGATTAGACAATGATACCAGTTTCAGATCTTGACAAATTGGAGTAATGTAAGTTATCAGTCTTCTGTTCTATGAGTTCAGATTTATTTTCTTTCTTTTTTAGACACATATTCCTACTGAAAATTCAGAGTTGAGCAACGCAGCTTTAAAAGCTTTAGGATTCTGTGTGTTTAATCCAAAGATTGCTTCTTTACTATGTGGTAAATACCTTTTTGTGTTTGGAGCATTGCTAAACTATATCTAATCAATATGTGACTAACTAGTTTCTTACTTCCAGTGACTGGCAACCATAGTCTGTGTGTGTGTGTGTGTGTGTACAATAATACAGATACAGATGCTTATGTATATACTAAAAGAATTGTATAATCACAAATAGAAATGTCCATGAAATGGAATATGTGAGTTTCAGACCTGTTTCACGTGTGCTAAATTTCAGCAGGAATAAATAAACTCCAGAATGTTTTGGTGGTTCCATTGTTTGTTTTCAGCCAAAACAAAACCTGGAGGGATCCAAGAATGATTTTCTGAGGCAAATAGATACATGTCTCCCCCTCTTCCTTCCTCCTCCATGCAGCCTGTAACCTGTCCTTACTGTAGTGATCTCAGCAGTTCCTGGCACAGGATCCCATTGACCTGCCTATCTCCCACAAACTTTTCAGGGCCTTGCATTGCCTTCCCTTGGCTACTGCTGATGATCACATGGTGAAAGAAACTGGCCCTTTGAGGCATATGTAAGTAACATGGACTTCCCTGACATCAAAACAGTCATGTGAGCTGTTCTTTTGCTTCTTTCATAGCTCCTCCATTGCCATTACTGTCAGAGGCACGCATCATTATTAAAGAAACCCTTCAGCCTTGACTTTTTCCCACTCTTACCTCCACCTAAGCACTTCTGCCTAGAACAACCACATTTTGGTCTATATCCACAACAAAATAGTCCTATTTTGATCCATAGATGGTCAGAACATCCAAAACATGTTTAACTTTAACTACCCAAAGCAGCTGTTAGGTGCACAGAACAGTTGATACATTCCTTTGCACACATTTATGAATATGTGAAAGTGTGAATTGTTTTGTATCCACTTGTGATTATTTAGTCTAAGTATGTGTGAGTTGCTAGAACATTTAGTGAATGTTTCTGTGTATCATTTCTGTGAAACATTAACAAAAAGCCATAGTATGCTGTCTGCCTCAACTTTTGTCCGAAGGAAATCCTGTATCTCTAATTCCAGGGCAGTCAGTGTAATGGTATTTAGGGAAAATTATACACTGCAGGCTTGTAGCCGTTGGAGAATGGACGTAGCAGAGGAATTAGTGTAATCTTCATACAGACCAAGAAAATTGCTACTATAAATTATTACATAGTATAGGAGCACACAGTGATGATACCTAGAGCAATCATTTCTGGTTTTTCTTTTTTTAACAGAAACAGAAGTACATGAACTACTTTCTATATTGAATAGTGTTGCTATAAAGTCAGGGGACAAAAACACTCGCACAAGAGCACTCTGGGTAATCTCAAAGCAGTCCTTTCCTCCTAATATTGTTGGGAAGTTGGTGAGTATTATTTGTTTTCATCACCTATAAATAAAAGTTGATAAAAAGTCTTGCTATACTTGTCTCGTTATCTTTTTTTTTTCAGGTACCCAGTACTATTGCTATGCTAGAAACAGTACTTCATAAAGGAGATTTACATTCCACGGTGGTTGAATATGAAGCACTAAATGTTATCATCCGGTATGTGTCAGATATACATCTGTTGAAAATTGGAAGAGGAGAAAGACTTCTGTTTAAATCTTGAATGGTTTATGTTGTAAACTATAGCACTGTTGCTATAACTGTACTAAAAGCTCAGTAGCACTTATGTTTTGAATTTATGGCATTATTGAAGCGCATATCAGGAAAATTGTATATGTGTTTATTTTTTTTTGGAAACTTATTGTTCTACTTTCCAATTAAGCTGATAATTCTATATTGGGTCCTTATTGGTATTGCATTTCATATTGTAATTGGGGTATACCAATTGTTGTAGCACTGCAGTATTGCAAATTATATTTTTATAATGCAGCAGGGATAAAACGGTCGCTTGCAAGTTTTAGTTTGGGGAAGCTTTTCCATATTGTTCATCTGTCAACCATCCATTGAAATGTGCAAAGAATTCTGGATCATATACTAGGTTTTACTTAGTCTAAAGTGATTTTAGTTTATTTGTGGTCCTAGTCAGCCCAAATGACCACATTATTGGACTGACACCAATGGAATAATTGACAGCTAATTAAGTTATCTTGTCCCTGGTCTGTAGACACCTTCAATAAGCCTTTGGAGCACCGTAAAATTACTCAGGATGGAATATGCAAACCACTGGCATGCGAGAACAGAGATTTACATATACCTGCATACTCATTTCTTTTGAAAAACTTTTACAAATACTTTGGCCTTATTGATATTTGTGTTTCTGAAATCTAGGCTGATAGAACAGGCTCCATCCCACATGGAGGAACAGGCTGTGAAGTGGGCCAAGCTGATAATTCCTTTGGTGGTTCACTCAGCTCATAAAGTACAATTGAGAAGTGCTACTGCTTTGGAGATGGGTGTACCACTTCTTCAGAAGCACCAAGAGGTGGCAGTAGTCACTGAAGAACTCATGACTATTGTAAGTCAAATATATTTTAAATAAACATGTTTACAGAGCACCACAGAGCCAGGCATATTTCTTGCATGACCTTCATTCAGTTCCTGTGTGGCTATTTTAATAGATTGATTTTCAGTCATGTATATTTTTTTAAATAAATTACAAAACTAGAATAGGTATTATCAATGAATATATAAAAATATTATTATTATATAAATAAATACCAGAGTCAGTACTTTAAATATAGGTAGATAAATACAGGTGAAGCCTGAACCAAAATTTATTATTTTGAAAGAGGAGTCACTCTGTAGGGAGATGGGCAGTGACAAATTTGAAATATAAATAAATTTGTGATTTCTAACAAAATACCTTACACTAATCATATTTTCCTATATGAAATTGTATGTTTAGGTCTTTTTTAATGTAATTTTAGTTTATTTAGGTGTTATTCATAAATTTATTCTTAATTGAATAAATGAATATATACTTTATTATAGTCTTAGACCATGCAAACTAAAAGACAATTGATACAGAACGATAAAAGATAGCAATAAAATAGCATGTCAATTCAGTCCTTAAAAACTTTAGTCCAATTTCACATGATTGATTCAAATTAATTCTGTAAGGATTACAAGAATGCAATGAATTTTTATAGCTGCACAATAAAATTTTACAATTGTGTATGTAACTATGGAGCCTCTGTCAGCCAATTGATATTTAATGTAAAATTTATCTGGGCAGCCTGGTTTTATTTTTTTATTTTTATTTTTTTTTTAATGAAGACTGGGTTGGCATTTGATGAAAGTCTTAATAAAATTCACAACATAAAAGAACATGTACAATTTTCTCAGTCCATTTCCACAGGAGAAACCCTCTTGGGACCTGGGATATTACAGCATCTACTCTGAAAAATACTGAGGGTGTGGCATTAAGGCAAGCTCTAGAAAATGTCCATTGATACATGGGATAAGGGAGTGAGAATAAATAGGCTACAGGAGAACATCTCTGGGATTTTATGAAAAGTTGATAAATGTTTAAAATTGAGCTTAGGTCATTAGGTAGCTCTGTCCCAGATCCACTGTTTGATTACATATTTTCCCTTATCAGGTCTTAAGGATAGTAAATACTCAGGCAACTATCCATAGGAAAGCAGTTTGCTTGTAGCGCTCTTTCATCACTTTGACCTATAATTACACAGTAATACTAATAGGAGCACTGTTGCTGGAGCCAAGTTAAACCTATCCAAACCACTTTGATTTTAATTCTTGGGTGCCCGGTTTCTAATCTCAGAGCTACATTAGGGATACATCTCCAAGGGGCCAGAGCTAAGAATAAATGGCTGAGTTGTGCCTTGTTAGCTCAATGGATTTTGCCACAAGTAATTCAATCATTCCTTCTTGCACCCCATTAAATTTTTTAATTGCTTTGGCATGTTTCTGGGCGATGGAAGAGGCATAACTGACATGCAGTTTTCCTTCTAGATGTTTGACAACTCCTAGATATTTAAAACATTAATTCAGGATGCCGTCCTAGGGCCCTAGCTGGCCACCTCTGAACAAGCCCACAAGAATCTCATCAAGGCAATGGGTTCTCTTGTTTTTTTTAACACTCGCCTTACTCTTAGCAACCAATAGCCCCTGTTCAGAGATACAAGGGACTGTTTTTATCTAATTGAATACAACATTTTAATAAAATCTCTGTGTTATATTCCTACAGAAAGTAATTCCAGAACTCCAAAAGCTATTTTCTTCAAAACACGAAGCATATGTTCTGAAACTGTGGCCCCTGTTTGTAAAGCTGCTTGGTAAAGTAAGTTGGAAAACAATTCTTTTTCAGCTATGATATTGGAAGTACATTACAGTATTAGATTATATCTTTTTCCCCTTAGGCACTGCATCGTAGTGGAAGCTTTATCAATTCCTTGCTGCAGTTAGAAGAACTTGGATTTCGTAGTGGCTCACCACTGGTAAAGAAAATAGCTTTCATTGCATGGAAGAGCCTGATTGATAACTTTGCTCTAAATCCTGGTAAGCTAAAATATTGAGCAGTAATGTATCAGCAATGAATATACTCTTGTTTCTCACATTCATAGGGTAAATCAGTGGTTAAGCTGTCACCCAAAAACATAGGGAGCTATTAGTAATGTTGATAGTTTAAATTAAATTTAAATTAGTTGCCACCTTGTCACATATTGATTAGCTATATAAGATTTATATACTGTATTTTTCCATCTACAAGATGCCCCCATGTATAAGACGATCCCCACTTTTCCAACCCAAAATTAAGAAATCAATATTTAAAGATAAAGCAGAACACATTTTTATTTAGTAATTAGGTAACATTTACATGATACACT